ACGAGTATCACCCGGTCGTGCTAGACTTTTTTCTTGATTTTTCCCCTTCCCCGTGTTAACCTCACCACGTTCTATACGGGCTACAAGATCCTCATAATGCTTTTGCAAAAGATCATCTTTTCTCTTACATGATGCACCAACCACATTTACATTCATGACAAGATGATCAAAAAAACTACCAACTATTCCATTGCTCTTCAAAGAGGACATAATCACTAATTGAAGGCGATGAGCAAAACAATGAACATAATGTGCTTGCTTATTTTCCTCCAAATTTTTTTGTTTTAAGCCCCATCATAACCTTGGCCTCGAACCTTAGACATCGAAAGACCATATTTTGCAAAAAAATCATCAATGGCATTTTTCAATGTCTGCGCACAAGTGTTACTAACATGCACCACTCCCAAACATCGCTCAATTACCTCCCAACAATTGTTAACAAACTTTAAAACCACAGACATTTGCTCTTTTATGGAACTATCTCGAGCCTCATCAATCAACAAAGAGAAAAAATTGCTACCAACCTCATTAATAATAGCTAGTCTTACCTCAGTTGCACAAGCATTAATAACGTCGTTTTGAATTTTAGGAGAGGTTAGTTGACTATTCCTGGGAGCATTTGACTTCACTACCATATCAATATGTGGATGCCGTCTACACTTCCATTTCAAGAGTTCAAGAAAATTACCTGTAAATACAAATAATGCAATTATGCAAATATGCAATAGTCATTAGAATTTTATAATGAAATAAATAATACGTAGTAAAAAATAATGGAAATAATGTAATAAAATTAACCCGAATGTGTAGAAGTAGCTGATTCATCGTGACCTCGAAAAGCCAACCCACCCTCTAAAAGGAATCGAACTACATCAACAATAGTTGTTAATCTTGCACGGTACTCAAGCTCATCTTTCTTGGTTTGTTGTGAATATACATAATCCACATTTTGCTTTTGGTTTTGAAACCCGGACCATTTAATTTTTGCATAATGATGCATGCTTTTTAGAGTTCCTTCGTGGTCACGGAATTTTTCCTTAGCTTTCCTCCAGTTATTAAACCCAACTTCAGTAAAAGCATCATCTCCATTTTTATGATGTCTACCAAACAAATAACACAAAAGGCAAAATGCTACATCTTTAGCAACACTATACTCCAAAAAATTAAATTCATCAAACCACTTTTTTTGGAATGATCTGTTGCACCCATTAAAATCACTTTGTGGAAATTTAAAGTCACGCGGTTGGCAAGGACTTTTTTCAGATAACGTCTCCTCAACTCATCTCTATTATTAACATCATAAGTCTCAATCGGCTTACGCAATCCAGGATCACCAACAATGTCATAATCCGACAATTCAACCTCTATTCAAGCTTTTTTAACATTAGTCTCATTGTTAGGAATGACATTTTCCGATGAAGAAATTAAATTATTCGATGAAGAACCACCAATGATAGGCCGTTTCGGTTTCGGCGGAATTGCCGAAAAATATCGTAACATAGCGATTGTTTGTCAAACAACCTAGACCAACTACAATTGAAATTTGAAATAATATGAGTTTAATTTTTCAAATTTCAACTATTCAAGTATTCAACATTTGAACCATAAGTGATAAGTGACACAACATATACGAAGCAAATAAGCAAATCCAGCAATGATTCAATGGACAATGAAGCATAAATCAATCATCAAAAAATCAACAATTTTAAAAAAATTAAACCATACCTTCAGTCGCAGAGTTGAAATTAAAACCACTGTTTTTGAAATTAAAAAAATTAAAACATTTCAAACATACCTTCGCTGCTCGCCTTCTCGCTGCCTAGTGCTTGCGGCCAGCGGCCTGCCTGGCTGCCTTCTTCATTCGTCACCTTCGTGGGATACTGGGAGTTCCTGGCTTCAGACGGAGGGTCCTGCTCGCTGGCGTCATGGTGTGGGCGGAGGGCGATTGCCAATTGAGAAAGGGGCGTTAGAGGGGAATTGGGGAAGTGAAATGCTCAAATGCCGTAAGTCGTAACGGGAATTGGGAAAGGTCCAAACGGGAACGGGATTGATTAGGGTACGGGCCTGGGAAATAAGATTGGGCCGAGCACAATAGGGAAAGGGGGAATTGGAATTGGGCTGCAGGGGCTCAACTTAATAAAAATTAATAATAATATATATATATATTAAAAAAATCACCGCGGGGGCACGGGCACCCCCTAGCCCTAGGGTGGGTCCGCCCCTGCTTATGCATGCCTTGCGTCCGAGACTATTCGAAGATGTCGATTCAGGGAAGACAAGGAGGGACGTGAGCAAGAGTATACTTTCTCGAGTAGATTCACAGGCTCACTACTCAAGAAACTGGGGGACTTGTGTTGGGAAATATTATCCCGGCCTACTACTGTTCAGAGGCCCAAGACATCACCCCGGTATAAGGCCCAGTCAGCGAGGCCCATTTAGGCTCACCTGACCTGTTGAGAGCCATTTAGGCCCACTCGGCCTGCCCGACCCATCTCAGCCCATTAAGGTCTGTCCGGCCCATAGGCTAGAAAGCCCCCATCCCCCTTCTATAAATAGGAAGCTAGGCCTCCATTTATGGGATCTGAGTTTTGGCTCCTCCCCTCTACTGCTTTGCTTATTTAGTAGGCTAAGATTTTCAACCTCCATTAATGGAGCTCAAGATTTGTACATGTATTTTGGTAAGGAGTATTAATGAGAAAGAGCGGGCTTGGATGTTAGCCTAAAAAGTCCCGTGATTTTCTCCCTTTCCGGGTTTCCACGTAAAAATAGAGCATTTTTACATATTTATATCTATATTTAATTGTTTATGTTGGACTAAACTCAACACGGCTGAAACAACTAATTCTGTTGAAATTTATGGAGTTCTGATTAGATTGGTTGAATCTGCTGATTTACGCAAAAAAAATATTCAAAACATATATCTTATTAGTAAGGGAAAAATAATTAAAATACCCCAAACTTTGAAGAGATTTGAGGTAAGCACCCCAAACTTGCATATGTAATTTAAATACCACAAACTATATATAAAATGTTACTTTAACACCATGATCTTGTATTATTTTTTTTCAAAAATGTTATTAATTGGTGTTAATTTCATAATTTAAAACATTTTAGCATTCATGAAGATACAATTAGCATTCTAAACTCATCTTAAAATAAATAGTATTACCCCATTCCCTCCAACTCTATAAAATTGAAATGTTTTCAATTTGCTATTTTAAATTATGCAATTAACATTAATTTTTTTGAAATGATTCATGATCATGGTGTTAAAATAACTTTTTATATAAAGTTTGGGGTATTTATACTACAATTGAAAATTTAGGTTGTTTATCTCACACTCCTTCAAAGTTTGGGGTATTTTAATTATTTTTCCCTATTAGTAAAATAAAGAAAGAATTACGGAGTATAAGAAAAATAGCTAAACTGATCATCGATAGTAACTACAGCAAAATAAGCCATACCTCCCCACCATCCTGTCGGGTCGGGGTTGGTGAGCTCCTGGGCAGTGGTGGATTTTGAATTTCCATTTTGGGTGTTCAATTTGTTTTTACAATAAAGAAGTTAAAGAACAATAAATAATTACACTAAATTTACCTACTTATATTTGCCATTTTTCAATTTTTTGTGTGTTCATGTGAACACTTTTGAACAATGGTGGCTCCGCTCCTGCTCGTGGGGTGGGAGATTCCACCTTTTGGACCAAGCCAAATAAGCCATTAAATTAACTTTAATCTTACTTTTTCTTATTTTTTATGCAATTTAGTGTGTGAAATCGAAATTTACGTATTTAGTGAAAAAGTTGATCGATAAGCTAAATAAGCCGAAAAACAGATGACCAAACCAGTTCTTAAATCAGGAGAGTTCTATTTCTTTTTTCTTAGCTTCCGCAACGTCATTGATGATCAAATTCAAATAATTTGTATTTGGTTATACTTAAATGAGAAGAAAGTATCATTTACTTAAATGTTGATACCTTCCCCAAACAATTACGGAGTATGCATCGGTAAAAGTTAACACTCACGCAAAGATTATATATATCCCTTAAACGATTATTTTCTCTTAATGTTCGTGTTTTTTCACAATAAAATCATTTATATATACTTTTCTCTAATAAAAATGTTTCAATGGTGAAAATAAAAACGAGTTTTGATTGGTAAAATGGATGAATCACATTATTTTTTAAAGTAAAAACATGATTACATTATAATACTACATTCGTCCCAAAAAGGTTCATTGTATTGACTTTTCTTGGTCAATGATGATTAAATTTGGACAATGATTTTAAGTATTATATTTGTATATAATTTATAAATTTTATGCTTTTATGAAATATTATGAATAAGGAACATTTTTATATAACGTTCATATTCTAAATAATTTCGTATTAAAAAATATCATTGATCAAAGTTGATTATCATTGATCGAGAAAAGTCAATTTGGCGAACCTTTTCGGGACGGAAGGAGTAATAAAATTATAAGAGGTAAGTGAATATTTAAGTACCGAGATGGAGGTGCCTTCCGTTTGCAGGAATAGAGGAATAATAAAAGCATCTCCAATGCTATAATGTGCACAGTGCACATGTGCCATGAGAGATAACCACATAAATATTAACAAATAAATTATGTCACTCATTATTTGAATGATTTTATATAATTTTGGTAAGTTTTTTCTCCACAATGGGAAAAACTTACCAAAACTGTATAAAATTATTCAAATAAGGAGAGAAAGAACTTAGTCCGTATTTATTAATATTTATGTAGCTATATCTCATGTGACATGTGCGCCGTGCACATTTTAGCATCGAAAATGCTCTAAATAACAATTAATTACGGGAAAAGTTAAATTTTGGTAATAAAAAAAGAAAGCTGTAAAATTATAAAGGAAGTAGTAATATTCAAACTTAAGTATACCTTTTCTACCAATTTTGATGGAATCAAAGTAACTTTATCAAGACTTTACATGCTGAAATTGACCACTCTATAGGTAAAAAAAGTCCCTTCACTGTATAACTTTTTTACCGTCTATTAGATGCCTCCAACCTGTGTTCCACTCCAATTAATGGTTTGGCTCTGTGGGCTCTGATCTGCTCAAAGCTCACCAATTCCAAATCACAGGAGGCTCCCAAAGAACTCCGCCGTCTCGACGCCCTAGCCGCCGCCAAAACTCCACGCCGTAATGGAACATAAAGCTTTTCCCTTCCCTGCTCCTCTGCTTTTGCAACTTACTCTGTTTTTCTCAGGTATATATATACTCTGTTTTCTCCACCTCCGTGTCTCTTTTTCTATAACATCGTTTTTCTTTATAATTATTACATAATAATGGGAATTCATTCTATTTTACTCTGTAGTGATCTTCTGCCCGGTGAAGGTGATTTGCATTGGAATCAACTACGGACAGATTGCGAACAACCTGCCGGCGCCGGAAAATGCAGTTCAGCTAGTACAGTGCATCGGAGCAACAAAAGTCAAACTCTACGACGCAGATCCGAAAGTGCTCACAGCTTTCGCCAACACTTCCGTGGAGCTGATAGTCAGCATCGGCAATGAATACCTGCCGGAAATGTCGGACTGTAATAGAGCCAAAGACTGGGTGTTACATAACGTGATTTCACATCTGCAATGGACCAAAATCACCGGTATTATAGTCGGGAACGAAGTCTTAACTTCCGGCAACGCCACTCTCCTCTTGCCCGCAATAAGGAACGTTTACGATGCTCTTGTAAGTCTAAATCTCCAACACCAGATCCAGGTCACCACCGCCCACTCCCTCGCCGTGCTGGAAGCGTCGTACCCGCCGTCGTCTGGGAGATTCAATTCAACCCTAGCCGCCTACTACATTTGCGAGCTCCTCAAATTCAGTAATATAACCGGGGCCCCGATTCTCATCAATGCCTACCCGTATTTCGCTTACCAGGCCGACCCGGAAAATGTGCGGCTCGAATACGCGCTGTTCCAGCCGAATACAGGGACGAACGACAGAAATGTTCACTACGACAACCTCCTATTTGCCCAGATTGACGCCGTCTACGCGGCGGCGGCGAAGATGGGGTACAATAACGTGTGCGTGCAGGTGTCGGAGACGGGTTGGCCGTCGAAGGGGGACCCCGCCGAGGCAGCAGCGACGAAGCAAAACGCCATGACCTACAATCGGAACCTCCTGAATCTCGCTGCTCAGAACAAGGGGAGGACTCCATTGAGTCCGGCCGGATGTAATTTGGAAGTTTCCGTGTTTGCGTTGTTCAATGAGAACCAGAAGCCCGGCCCGCTCTCGGAGCGCAACTACGGACTGTTCAACGCCGACGGATCGCCGGCGTATCAGATTGGATCTTCCGCCTGCGGGAACACGAATAGCTCAATCGGTTCTGGACCTGCCTCTGGTACTTTTCCGCCGACGACATTATCTCCGACCGCAGGGAGCCCCGGGAACCTCTATATACCGATTAGTTCCGACGCGGTGAGTAATAATCCCATAAATTTACTAATTTCTTTCTTTATTTATTAGCTCATTCACTTTGTTACAGGTCGCAGAGTTTTCCCGCAGTTGGGATGGGGCTAACTATACAGCAATAAAGTTATACGGAGTATATGATAAATAATTGACAAAATTATTTTAGGAGACTAAATCTTCATGCAGTACAAAAATTGTTTAAAAATAGGATTAAAATATGAATAATCCATCAATTGGTATTGATTTTTTATTTATACTCTCTTCGTCCCAAATTGTTTTGTAAAGTTAATATTTTTTGTCAATCAATAATAAAAGTCAATCCTCTCTATCGATATTTAATTCAATTTTTAATAATTAAAATTTACATATTCAGAAGCTACATTGAAATCTCTTCAAAGTTGCAAACTCCAAATTAGAATATAATTAAAAAATGACGTGCTAATTACATGAATAAAATGGAACTGTTTTACCAAGAAAAGTCAAATTTGCAAATCAATTTGGGACACAAGTAGTATATATTATTTTTATTCTTATAATGTGATATTTCACATGTTTATTTTTCATTTATCACTCACTCCTAATTTTGTTTCATAATTGATTGGAGTAACTGTAATATTATCCGAACTTTGAGGGATGTCTAATAAATTTGAAGGTTTCGGTTCCAAATTTAAAATTGAGACCTCACATTAATATAGAAAATTTAAAAAAATCTCAATCCAAATACTTATACTTAAATCAATTGAATATTCATTAAATAATGTAATAATTTTTTTTTCCAAAACTTCCTTAATACTAGATCAAAGCAACCCAACTCATTATTCAAGCAATTTGAGTAAAAAAAAAATTAAAAAGACCAACAAAAAATGGATATATATTTTTCTTACTTATTAACTGTATTTTAATGATTAGTATTAATGCACGTAGTATAAAATTATTACGAGTATATAATACTAATGAATTTTTAAAAAATTGATGCCCATAAATCTTTGGGCCCTATTATGGACAACGTATTAAATCTCCTAAAAAACAGCCCTGCAAACTTTATTTTAGAATTTGTTAAACGATAGTCGAGTGGTTGAGGGATGTCTAGCGCTTAGGTATCGATTAAATACCGACTAAGTCCATTTTTTGATGGACTAAGTCAATTAGGCTTCCATAGTTAGGGAGAGATAGCGCCTAATTGATGATTAATTGGCCTGATTAGACCGATTTTTAAAATAATGCTTATGATACAATATAGGGCTTTTATATTCTATATTCCGAGATGGTGAAAAGTTGCAAAAAATGACATAACGCCGGTGTTTTTGGTTCATTTCAGGTGAGAGCACATTTATGCATCAAACGGTTTGGGTGTGTTTTAATGGTGGCCTTCCTATGTTACATAGCATTGAACAAAATGTAGCAGGCAGTATATATGATGATAGGAATCTTGAATTGGCACTACAACTCTCTACCTCTACCTTGTTGCACGTGTTTCAGCAAGCCAGCCCTTAACAAGGGGCTTCAATTCATGTGCATATATATTCGTTTTCTATGCTACTATTTCAGTATTTTGTTGCGGAGTATGTATGCTGTAGTGATTTACGACTCACACAAGTCTTGCATGCTTTCTTGTATCATTGTATGTAGTAATAACAATAAAAATAAAAATATATTATAAAAAGTCTTTCTCGCGCACACACCGACACACACACATTAATGTTCTAAAAGGTGTTCTAAAAGGCGCTAGGTGCTAGGCGCTAGTAAGGTGCCATCCCAACGCCTAGGCGGCTATGCGTGCGCTTAGAAAGAGACTAGTTGGAGACATACTAGTTTAACTTCATTATGTAATAAATATTATGAATGATAGAGTTGTCGCATTTAAAAATATACTATTACTACGAGCTTAACTTTATTATGTAACCCTAGAATCTTCCCAGTTCGACTCTTTTGGGTCAAACTTTATAAACTTTGACCATTAATTATTCAAAATTCACATTATGTTATGATTAAAAATTTATTTCATATACTTCATTGTGAAACATATTATTTGAATGTTAATTTATTATGAATTTTATAAATATAGATATGTAGATATTTGGAGTCAAAGTTCAACTTAGAAGACCGCGAAAAATTAAAATGGGAAGATCTTTGTGTTACAGAGGTAAAAATAAATATTATGACTTATGAGTATTAAATAATAAGAAGTAATAAAGTTTAAGATATGATTATTTACAAACATGTATATAGATTTATCTTAATGTACAACTTATATCTTTCTTTATATGTGTTATTAATGTTAAAGGTACATATGTCTTTTAGAAAACTAAAATAAAAAAAGAAGACAAAAATGTTCGGTGAATATATACACCTAGGTGGTCAATTGAGCACTAGGTGGACATGCAATTAGGCGCCCTAGGCGACTGACATGATCACCTAGACGCCTAGACTAAAATTGGGGCGTACGGCCACCGTTTAGCGGTTAGGTGGGGACTTCTCGGATGCCTAGAACGATTTTTAGAAGAGTGATATTATATATATAGAGCGGGGATCCAGTATCAACTATGGTTATTGTGCAAAATTTTGTGAAATGCATCTTTACATTATTTGTCATATTGATGTTCAGAGTGTTACATACTTACATATTATATATTCTACGATGGAATAGACAATTGCATATTAACATCTAAAGTGTTGCATCTAAAAAAGTTTGATTCTATTATCAAAACGTCAATGTGCATTTCCAGCTCTTAGATCAATTCAACAAATGTTAAGACGAGTTAGTAGTTTATAAATTAGTAGAAACCATACACACACACATTAATGTTGGCATAAACCAAAAAATTAAGAGTTCGTTTGATAACTTTGAAGGGAAATTTTCCGAGATATGACTAAAATATATTGAGTTTTCCTAAATATGACTAGTTATGTTTTTAGACATTTGTATGACTGAAAAGCAAAAATAAACAGAAAAATGCGTGCAAATTAAAATGTTTAATGACTAAAATATCCTTATATAAAAAATGTGCATTTTACACTATTTTCGCTTAATCAAAAATACTGCACTTTATATTGCAGTTACTGCACCACATTACTGCATGACATTACTGCACATCCGGTAACATATCACTGCACTTCCGCCGATATTAGTTCTCTTCTCATCCAGTTTAGGAAATTATTTATAGATTTTTTTGTTTAATAATTTTATTATTTTACGACTAATTAAATATATTGCATTTTATGTCAGTGTTACTGCTCTACATCACTGCACTACTGGTCATAATCACTGCATACATTCATTCACTATCCATGTACAACATTATCTATTACCTTGTTCACCGATCATGCCCACTGTCCATATTTAATGCCAGCCCACAAGCTTTAATTTCAACGAACCCTAATTTCAAAAATAGAAAAAGAAGAATGAGAAGGGAAGTGGACGGCTGGACGGCTGCGGTGAGGAGTGCGGCCGTGTAGGTAGATGTAGCGGCGGCTCGATGGGGACGGAGGTGCGTGACACATGAAACCGGTGAGAACCAAAACACCCAAGAAACGTTGTAGGATCATCCTTAACGTTGGTGGGTATATTTGCGTGTGAGCAAATTAACAGAGGATTTTGAGTGGAGCACATTAGGAGATTTGGGATGAAATAGAAATATTTGAAGCAAATATACATTTGATCCAAAAGGTGGAATCTCCCACCCCAAGAGCCCCCCATACCCTGACCCGACAGGATTTTTGGGAGGATGTTAATCACGGTGACTCAGTCGGCCCAATGATGGTAGGCCTTTTTCCCGTGCGCACCAGAGGCCCAGCCTTATTTCAGGTTCTGTGACCTCCACACGGCCGCTGCGGGTTTCGAACCTTGGTCACTTGATCCAAATTTCCCACCACTGAACCAACTGAGCTACCCGTACGGGTAAGAAGCAAATATACAAAATTGATAAATGGGTGAGTATCAATCTTATACTGTAACGCCGTCTTTTGTCTGTAATTCGTATTACAAAACGGACGAAGGGCGGCTGGATGGGGACTGTATGCACCAGTGGCCAGCGATTATGCTCCGAGACGCAGCGGACGGCGGGCCATGGGACTATCAAGAATAATAAGCTAGACTGGAAGTTGGACTGATCTATTTTTTAAGTTCTTAGGCCCATCTATTGTTTATTGGCCTTTACATGTAGTTTTTAATAGCCTTTCAGCATTAGGTATAAATACCTATACCAATTGTAATTAGGTAAATTTTCAATTCATTCGATTATCTTACTTCCGCATACTCGCTCTTTATAAACGTTCATCATCCTTGATTTCATCTTGTTCAATATCTTGAGATAAAATTCAACATGGTATCAGATTAGGATTCGATCCTAGATACTCTTCCTGTTAATCTTTGTCTTCTTCGATTTCTATAAATCGATTTCTCTGAATTTTTCTACATCCTGTAACCCTAATCGCATAATTTCCTGTTTGCGATTAATCAATTGATTCTCCCCTTAAATCCTAGTGATGATGTATCCTCTCCATATTATTTTCATCCTAGCGATCACACAGGCCTCCGCATCATATCTGAAACGCTCAGTGGCGATAATTTCACAGCCTGGAAGAAGTCATTGACTGCTCCATCACCCAACCACGTCCAGAAGAAACTGTTGCCTATCAAATCTGGTATTGTATCAATGCTTTACTCCTTTCTTGGTTGATTTATTCAATTGCTCCTGAGATTCGCTCCACTTTCCTTTACTTTACCTCTGCCAAGGATATGTGGGACGAAATTAGACTTAGATATGGAAAAAGTGATGGTCCTATGGTTTTTTATCTAGAGAAATCCCTAGGCAATATCTCTCAAGGAACTCAAACTGTTACCACTTACTACAACATATTCAAAGGATTTTGGGACGAATATGTTGATTTTAAAACGCTACCTTCTTGTTCTTGTGGTATTTGTACTTGTAAGCTCAATGAAAAATATCAACTCCTACTTGAAAAAGAGTTTGTTCAAAAATTCCTTGTTGGATTGAATGAATCCTATTCTGCTTTGAGAAGCCAAATTCTACTTCAAACACCTTTTCCTAGTCTCTCTGTTGTCTGAAAGAACACTTCAATACCCTATTAATTCTGTTCCTTTTCCTTCTGATAAAAATGATACCTATGATTCTGCCACCACTAACTCTACTGCCTTTCTAGTCAAAAATCCTAATCACAAAAAGAAACCCATTACTTGCAATCATTGTGGTTATCAAGGGCATTGTTCTGACAAATGCTTCTAAGTAATTGGCTATCCTCCAAACTGGAAAGGACCTAAAGGATTGAGGACTGCTCCTGGCTTCAAACTGCCCTCCGCGGCTAAGAGTACACATGATAATCTAGCCAACACCTCCACTGACTCTCCTTCTAATGACATGGACCTGTGTGATCCAACTCTCTACAATAAATTTCTTGAGTTTATGAAAACTCAAAGTGCTAATCCTGCTACTGCTCATGTTGCTATGACTGTTCCACAACATGATCAATCTATTAATGATTCTTTCTTTTCTAGGTAACCATTCTGTTTTCTTCTCTAATATTTCCACTTCTATTTGGATACTTGATACTGGAGCTTCTGATCATATGACTCACAATTTTAGTTTATATACTTCATCACCTAAAACTATTTCTATTAATGTTCAACTACCTACTGGTTCTTTTATAACAGCTACTCATATTAGTGATATTAAACTTAATGATCATCTTATTCTTCATAATGGCTTATATGTTCCACAATTTAGTTTTAATCTTATATCAATCAGTAGTCTAATTTTACATGAAAATATCTCTGTTCATTTCTCTTCTAATTATGCTACTTTGCATGATCTCCTCACCAACCAAATGATTGGCTATGCTGATCTTCAAAATGGACTCTATCTTTACAATTCTTCACAACATGTTATTCCACATACTACCTTTTCTGTTGTTAATACTGTTAATTCTCAAATTTGGATAATAAGTCTAATCTCTGGCATTATAGACTAGGACATCTTCCTTTTAATAAGCTCAGTTCTCTTGTTGATTGTAATATCCAACATTATATGAATAAAACTCTTCTTATGATATTTGTCATTTCGCTAAACAAAAAAGATTACCTTTTCCTACTAGTACTTCTTATGCTTTACATGCTTTTGATCTTGTGCATATGGATGTTTGGGGTCCTTTTAAAGTAGAATCTTATTCTGGTTTTAAATATTTTTTAACTATTGTTGATGATCACACTAGATGCATCTGGATTTATATGATGAAAAACAAATGAGAAGTTAAATTTCATATGTTACATTTTTATAATCTCATTCTGACTCAATTTTATACTAAAATTAAAATTATTAAGACTGATAATGACATTGAATTTATTTTTCCTTCTTTGTATAATGACAATGTCATCATTCATCAATTATCTTGTCTACCTCTCAGTTTTTTGTCTGATTGCATTTTAACTGTTGTTCATATTATAAATAGAATTCCCATTGCTATTCTCAATATATAATAAATCTCCTTATGAATTACTTTATGGTAAAAAGCCAGATTATTCTCATTTAAAAGTTTTTGGTTCTCTTGCCTATGCTTCTACATTATCTGCTGATAGATCTAAATTTGACAAAAGGCTGTCAAATGTGTTGTTATTGGTTATCGACTTGGTTCTAAAGGCTATAAACTTTATGATATTTCTAATCATAATTTTTTAATATCCAGAAATGTAAAATTTTATGAAATGATTTTTCCTTATAAAAATAATCCTGATCATATTTTAGATTATACTTTTATTCATTCTGATCCTATTTCAGATTCCTCCCACACTAATGATTATATTCATGAATATAACACCTTTTCTAATCATTATTTTGAATATCAGATTAATGATGAAATTTATACAATGAATATAGATGGCTCTACTACTAATA